CCTCTTTCCACGAATGGGCTCATTCGAATCATCTTCTGCATGGGTTTTCCCCTGCCATTGGGTTTGTGCTCCTGGGGTCACAAACTCTTTGATTTTTCTGGCCCGAATCAGCTTTTTGACTAAGCTTCGGATGTGCATGCACTTCTCCATGTTATGACTATGGTCCTTATGGTATTTGTAGAATTTGTTAATATTCTGAAGAAAAGTTATTATTCTCATAGGTAGTGCCTTTTTGAAGTACTCATCATGTATGGCTTCCACTAACTCCGTCATTTTAATCCTCAACTGGGTAACTATGGTCCTTATGGTATTTGTAGAATTTGTTCATATTCTGGAGAAAAGTTATGATTCTCATAGGTAGTGCTTTTTTGAAGTACTCATCATGTATTGCTTCCACTAACTCCGTCATTTTAATCCTCAACTGGGTGGGTTTTGGTGTTTCTCGGTCGCCTATCGATCAGTTGTTTGAATTAAATATATGTAAGCCTCCCAATTGCCATTAGACGACTGACTGTCTCCACATTAGCGGCATGGACCATCATGCGGCCTCCACACATCATCTCGCGATAACATACTCCACCGATATCATGGTTGGCTCATTCCAAGAATTCAACTAGATTGTTGGTTGATGCAAAGTCTACAAATACTTATTTTTTTTGCTCCTTAGCTCTTGTACCATGACAACTTATGCTGTCGCAAGCTCCAAATTTCATACTTCCAGCATTTCTTTCTATAGGTGAGTGATATACAGTTGAAGACTCTCGTTCGACCCTTAAACTCAACAAATACTTATTTTTTTTGCTTTTTAGCTCTTGTACCATGACCACTTATGCTGCCGCAGGCTCCAAATTTCATACTTCCAGCATTTCTTTCTATAGGTGAGTGATATACAGTTGAAGACTCTCGTTCGACCCTTGCTTGACATGCCACATGGCCCGTGAATCCCTGCGGGGCTTTTGGGCGCTAGCCAACTAGGCGGTGAACAACTTCTGAAACTCACCGAAGGAGGTAATAAGTTATGTCGGGAGACGATTAAACCACATGCATGTTGAACCTCTGAGTATGGTATAGAATAACCGACAATCCAATGAGTCTGAGATTTTGAGAAGGCATACAATCAACTCAAACGATGCTACGTGGTCGGTTGGATCGCTTCAACCCTTATAGGATTCTAAGGATGGAATTTTGAACTTCTATGAGGGTTAACTTCAGAGATATGCTAGAAGAAATCATTCTCCAGCCTTCAGTATACCTTGATTCACCCAAAACCCTCGGTGTTGACTCTACACTTTCCTAGTACTGATATTCTTCAACTCTTTATACCCTGAGTTGTTCGGTGGCCTTCTGGTTCCTTTTTTACTAGAGGTTTTTGGTTCATGAGGATCTCGGGCTCTCCACTCGAGTAGTGCACGGGTCAATCTTATCATTTATCTTGTCATTTGATCTCATAGTTCTTGAATTTATTATTTGTACAAGTTTTCTTATAGATTCCATATTTGAGGTTTCTTTCAAGTGAGTTCCTTCTTCGTGGTGCGCTCTTTTACTTGTTGATGACATGATTTCACACTCACCGCACTTTTTAGGATATTGAATCCAAACACATTATGCAGATCACACCTAAGGTATAGAGCGTTGGACAGACAAGAGTAACACGGTGGGACGGATTGAAGGTTTAAGAGCACATTAATACAAGTTTTTGGAGAGTAAATTCAGTAGTCTTTTATTGAAGAAATGACCCTATTTTTATAAATCTTAGGGATATATAGTAAAGTTACATGTTTGTCCCTCTTTTAATAGGGACCTTACAAGTCATTACCACACCTCTTCATATTTGTAACTGATTCGGGAACTTTTAATATCCATATTTGACGTTGACACCATTTCATATTCATAACTGTTTGAATAGGGGCATTTATTGACCTGCTGGTATTGTCGTTCGGTCGTCTGATAACCACTAAGTTTGCTGAGAAGTCTTTGTTTGGCTAGTAGATCTTCGGTCAGCATCCTCAAGGGAATCCTCAGTTGAGGCTCTCTTGTCGTTAGGGTTAACTTAGACAGTCAAGTAGATGGTGTATCAACGTAATCTAACGGGCAACTGTCCTTGGCCAAGGGGTCTTCTCAAAGGATTGGAAAGATATTCAATGAAGTGTCATTTGACCTTCTTTATAAGGAATCCCAGAATAAGTTAAGAAAGCTCATTACAAATGACTCCCTTGGTTTATGTGCCACATTCTTTCGATCGGCGGAGCTTCCGTTCAGTCAACCAATAATGCAGTCCTCTAGTGTCCATTAATCGAGACCGTTGAATTTCATCTAGATTCGTTCGGTCATATTTTGAGACATATAATAATAATAATAATAATATTTAAAAAGACCTTAATATTCAATTGAAATATATAAAATAAAATTACTTATAGTTATTATTTATCGGTTCGCACGAAAAATATGTTACCAATACCTTACAAAAGTTAAAAAAACTCCGAAGCTATTGAACAAGCATCACGTGGCAGTTAATTTTGCTTGCGACATGATCTCTTCAATTGTATATTTGACATCCATCCAAAGACCCTAAATACTTGTTTTGACCATTAAATTGCCAAATGCATATATATTAAGGGTGTTTGGCCTCGCACTTCCCAAAAAAATTAAAAAATAAAAAGGGGGCACTTTCATCGAATCAAATACGGAACATCCAAACCACAAACACGAAAAAAAAAAGTCCCATTGGCCGACCTGTAAAAATAATAAAATAAAATAAAATAAAAAGGCCGGCAAACTGCAAGGATAATTGTAATACACAACCTGCGGAGCACTCGGAAGTTCCCCGATACTCTTTATGCTTTCAACCTTTTTGCATGTTGTTCCATTTAAGGTGTTGGAGCCCATATCCTGCTTCCGATTTCACAGTACAGGACAAAGATTTATTGGACAGTAAAGAACAGATGAATTGTGCACTTACCCTTGAGAAGTTGAGAGTTCGAAAGGGCCCACCTATCTCTTAAAAAAATAAAAAAGAACAGGTGAATGGAATTTTTATTAGACATAAATTTGAATCTGGTGTCGAATTAAAATTATCCACCTATTAATATGATCTCACTGAAATACATATTTATTATTATTTTTAAAAAAAATGAGACCTACCTTTCAAGTGATTATTTTTAATTGGACATGGGATGTAAATTTACGTCTAGTGTTTTGACCTAATAATTTTTCTAGGTGAATGGGTGTGGGTAAATTTTGACTGTTTAGTAATTGTGCACCTTGCAAAGTCCATGGGTAAGGCTGTTAACAATTCAATTTTGAGTCGAGCTAGAATCAGCTCGAATCGATTGAGCGCAGCTCGAAACCGGTTTATGGTTCGTTATATTCACTTTCAAGCTAGCTCGGTCCAAAATTGGATCGAGCTCACTCCGGCTCAAAATTAGTTGGAGCTCGATCTGACTCAATAAGCTAGCTAAAATGAGCTATTCAGATTCATTCTAGCTCTTAATTTGCTCGTTCTTGCTCAAAATCAAAATGGGCCAACTCAAATTTAGTAATTTGGATTCATTCCAGCTCAAAATCGGCTCATGGCTTGATATTTTCAATTTTATAAGTATTATATGTATATTATTAATAAACAAAAAATATTTTGAGCTGATCTCTAGTCAGTTCAAGTTGATATGTGTATCACTTGAAAAAAGCAAAAAAAAAATTGATCTAAATTTTCGGCTCACAATACCGCTAGTTTATTTCAATTCAATCTCCAAACTTGCACAAAATTCGAATTCATCTTCTAGTTAAATTCATAGCCATATCCGCAGCTGCTAGGAAAATTTATATTCATCTGCAGGGAGAGAAAAAGGGTAGGGAGCAACAGAGAGTAAAAGAACATATATTTTACTCTTTTCTTTTGAAAACATTTAAGTTCTGCTTATAAAAGTATTTCATTAATTACATACAAAATCTTAATATTTAGTATTTTGTAACTTGCAGATTTTATAGAAAATATCTTCATTATTTCCGTGCTATCTATAAATCCAATTTCTGCCAGAGTTTGTATTATTTAAATGTTAGAAAGTGTTCACTTTGTTCAGGAACACTGCAAGCAACATTTCGAAGACGAGGAGAGGGAGCTGCTGCCCCTGCTAGAAGCAGCAGAGAGCGTGAGGCGAAGGGCAGGGGAGGAGAAGCCGGGGATGCCAAATCGATGGGTTCAGCAAATGGTGGATCTGATGGAGCAAACACACTCCCGCCTTTTTTCCTTCTTCGCGGCCGCTCTCTTGCCTCGCGAGGCACTGCGCTATGTCGGCCTTGTTTCGGCTGGTGATGACCAGCGAGCCATCGCCATGCTTCGCTCCATCGCCGTCTCAATCGAGACCTCGTCGCGGCCTTCCTTGCCTCACCTTTACAAAGGTTGTAATTAGTGTAGAGACAATCAAAATTTGGCAAAATTTTAAAAATGTATTTTTTAAAAAAAATTTTATTTTAAATCAAAACAGCAAAAATAAAATTATTTAACCCCACAGAGTCGCTACATGGGCAACTTTGCAACATTTACAGTTGAAGTCGTTGCCACGATGAAGATTTCGTAAAAAAACTTGTTTTTTTAAGAAAAAAATTATTGTAGAGACCTTGTAAACAAACTTTTTTTGTTAAATTTTTTGAGTGACTTGTGGGATTTCAACAGTCTTGTAGTTGTGGGCGACACGATGAGTAGAGAAGGTTGTGATGGTGTTGAATCTTAAGTTGTCCTTCAAAAATACAGAGGGGAGAGAGAGTAGCACTTGAAAGGAGTTCGGGGAATTGTCTTTTATTCATCTTTTTGACCTCCTATTTATACGGCCTAATTATACAATAACGAAAAGGAGAGAACAGTCATGACAATCGCCAGAAATCCAAATAATATTAGACTTGTGTTACAATTTGAGTGAATTGCAATAGCTATCGATCGCTAGACGTGTTGAGTCTGATTGACCAAAGCGATCGGTTCTACGCAAATTGCTCCCATTGAGGGAAAATAATCGATCGACTAATTTTGAACGATCGATCTTACAAGAGGCTCATGTAATTGGGACAGTAAGCCAAGCCTACCGACCGGATTCGTCAAGACTGTATATCTGGTGACTTGACCAAGCAGTCGATTATCAGATGTGCTGGTTCAGATTGTGCTGTTTGGTACGAGGCTTCGATTTTTTGGTCATCATCTTCAGTTGTTCGTTCCCTTTGAGATCGTGCTAGTGATTTTTATGCATACATATTAGTTTATTGATTTTTCTGCTTTTTGACAGCAACAACTAAGATAAGCAGGGTAATTATTAAATTATGAGTGACATCAAAATTAAGAAATTAATTTAATAATCAATTTTCATTTGAGTTTCCAGCCCAATGTGTCCTATAAACAGGGTCGTAGGGTTGGCATTACATTCTTTGCTACCAAGTCTTCTCAAACGTTTGAGACATGATGACTGACAGTATGAGTTAGGATAATATGGACACCCAACTTTTTTGGTTTAACAGGCTTTCGATCCCTACTTCTATCGTGACTGCAAAGAAGAAAAGGGTTATAAAGGGAGAGAAGCGATTTAAACTTGAACTTCTGTTGGTTGATCAAGTCGCCTCATCTGAGGGCCCTGGGAACAGGTGCCCAAAAATCCTCACAAGGGAACCCTGGCTCTTAAACCTAATACAGGCGTGATTGTTGAGGGCTAGCAGGCCTGCTAGCTGAAGATATCGAGTTGGTGAGAGGAGATCGAAAGAAATGACTATCATCAACTCCCCCAACCACCACCCAGAAAGACGGAGGTACCATGTTGAGAGAGAGAGATGAACATTTGAGAGATTTTTCTGAAATGAACTAATTCTTAAGCACATAAGTATTTCTCTAATCATCAACATTTTATAATAATTCTTTGACATTATCTCGATGCAGACGAATCAGTTGAGTCAGAGGACCGCTAGGACAACAGATCATTGAAAAATGCTATCGAGTTTGCTTCCACTGTTGCGGCCGGGCCACCGGGTGTGATCGTCGCACCTCCACCATTGGTCAATATAGAGGGGTATTAGCTGCTTGATCCTTTGGTCTGCGACTGGTCCCATTCTTTCGACCTTGCTTGGCCACTTTGGTGGCTCCGAACAGCAATGCAACTAGTGGCAGCTTTTATTCGAATTTACGGAGTAGCGAATGAATGTGGCCATACCTTCGTCTGGAACAGTCAATTCTTCAAAGAGTGTGCTGGAGATTCTGCCGAAGATCTGATGCGCGGTTTGTTGTTTGTTGCTTTTCTAATTTTTTTTTTAAATAATACTACAAAACACACACATCAGTACTAATAATAAATAAAAAATTCAATCCCAATAAAAATAATTTTAGTAAAAATAATTTTATCTTTTAAAATCTTTAAACTGTCAAACCCATAATAATAACGCAAATATACGTATCACTCAAGTAATAAAAGGCTCTAATGGAGCCATAAGTATTAATCCCACATGGAGTTGGAAATTCTTATGACTATAATGTAAAACACAAAATTCAAACTAAAAAACTTAAGTATGAAATTCAAATCGAAAATAATTGAGTCTATGCTAAATAAAATGCAATTCAAAAAAATTAAATTAACTAAACTAATTGCTAAATTTCAAAAGTAAACTTATAAAAACTAAATAAAGTTTTTGTGACGAAAAGTTCAAATTTAAGAAAGCATCATTCCCCTTTACAATGAGTATATGTATTGTGAAGAAATTAAAATCATTTATATATATATATATATATATATATATATATATGTATGTATGTATATATATATATATATGTATGTATGTATATATATATATATATGTATGTATGTATATATATATATATATGTATGTATGTATATATATATATATATGTATGTATGTATATATATATATATATGTATGTATGTATATATATATAACAGAAACATTCATTCAAAGATATATATATGTATGTATACATACAGATATATATACATATACATGTAGATATATATATGTATGTATATATAGATATATATATGTATGTATATATATATATATATATATGTATGTATATATATATATATATATG